AGAGAGACCTGAGGATCAAAAAAATTTAAAAAGAGCTAATTAATTACCTGATTCCATTGGAAAAAAGAAATTCCTAAAGAATCCAACAAATTAATAAAATTATTAAATAATTCATTAAGAAGCCAAATACAAGCTGGATATACATTAATCTGTCACATTCATATACACTAGTAAATAAAAAAGAAGAAATTAAGAAAGTTTTCTAAAAAAAAGATTCACAGACATACCATAAGAACAAGAGGAGGAGAAAGGAGTGGAGAGCCTATTCAGATAATTAGTGAATGAGAACTTCCCAAACCTAAGGAAAGAGCTAGATCCTAGAATCCAACAAGCAAACAGAACAACTAGTTACCTCAATCCAAAGAGGCCTTCTCCAAGGAACATTGTATTAAAACTGTAAAAATTGACACAGAAAGGATTCTCAAGGCATCCCAGGAAAGAAGGAAGTGACCTACAAAGGAAAGCCCATTATGTTATCATCAGACTTCTCAGCAGAATCTAAACAACTCAGAAGAGAGTTGAATAAATATTCAAACTGCTGAGAGAAATTATCAGCCAAGAATAATAAATCCAGCAATGTTATGCTTTGAATGTGAAGAGGAAATATAGACTTTTACAGACATACAGAGGCTGAGGGAGTTTATCACCAGATGACCTCCACTTCAGGAAATACTCAAGGGGGTTATTCTACCTGAAACAATACAGAAGGTCACTAATCTATGAGTAAGATCACCAACAAAATTACCCAATAAACAGGGACGATTTGTGACAACAAAATCATAAAAGGGGAGGGAGTAAGGTCTGGATTTGCAAAGGAGTATGGAGATTAGATATATTGAAAAGAAAAAGGACTAGTATATTCTCATATATGAAACTTTCTTTTTCACACACACGCACAAGACAAACAACCCAATACTGAGGCACATAGTAGAGAAATAAAGGAAACAGAGAAAACAAGCATGGAATACCACCAAACCAAAAAACAAAAAACAAAAACAAAAAGGAAAAGAACCAGTGGAGTCACAGAGCTACCAGAAAAAAAAAGAATAAAATGACTATAGAAAATTCTTATATTTCAGTAACCACCCTAAATGTAAATGGGCTGAATTCACCAATAAAGAGACAGAGTAGCACAGTGAATCTAAAACAAAGCCCAAATCATATGCTCCCTTTAGGAGACATATTTAAGCCACAGAGACAAAATTAGATATGAAGTGAAAGGGTAGAGAATGATTCTTCGAGAAAATGACATTCACAGAAAAGCAAGTGTAGCCATTCTTATATCCGGCAAAATAGATTTTAAGATGAAAAAGAATAACAAAGGTAATGAGAAACAAAGATGGACATTTTATAATGATGAAGGAGACACAGCATCAAGAATACATAACAATTCTTAATATATATATTTGTCCAATCAGGAAACACCAAAATATAGACACCAACTATTAACAGAAATAAATGGAGAAACATACCAATACACAACAATAGTTGGGGACCTTAATACTTCATTGACAGCTATAGACAGATTATCCAAACAGAAAATCAACAAAGAAATATTGACCTTCAATGACACATTAGACCAATGGACATAATTGACATTTTATACAGTCTTTCATTCCAGAACATCAGCTTATATGTTATTTTCCAGTGCACATGGAATATTGTCAAAGACAAACCATGTGTTTGGTCACAAAACTAATCTCAACAAGTTCAAGAAGATTGAAATTACACCAAGCATACTTTGTTACCACAATACCTTGAAATTACAAATCAACTGCAAAAAAGGAAATAAAGTAATCCACAAACACTACATATTACCTACTACTAAAAAATGTCTAGATCAAAGAGGAAATACAAGATGAGAGCAAAGATATATAGAGACAAATGAGAATGGCAATATGACACATCAAAACTTCTGGGATGCAGCAAAAGCAGTAATAAGAAAAATGTTTATACCATCGCAGGCCATACTCAAGAAATGAGAGAAACCTTCAAAGTAAAGAACCTAACATCACATCCTACAATAAGAACTACAGCAACCCAGAGTGAGCAGAACAAAGAAAATAATAAACATGGAACAGAACTGAATGAAATAGTAAACAAAATAACTATACAAAAAATAATAAAACAAAAAGTTGGTTCTTTATTTATTTTTTAATTTAATTATTTTTCAAGTACAGTATTCTATCTTTTACTCCCATCCCAGTTCACCCCCATGCTCCCCACCTGCCTCCCATTTCCACCCCCCTTAGTTGTTGTCCATGTATCCTTTATACTAGTTCCTGTAAATCCTTCCTCTTTTTCCCCTGAAATTTCCTTCCCTCTCCCCTCTGGTCACTGTCCCCCTGTTCTCTATTTCAGTGTCATTATTTTTATTTTGCTTGCTTGTTTGTTTTGTTGTTTACCTTCCAGTTAAAAGTGATATCATATGGTATTTATACCATGTTCAAGGATTGGAAGAATTCACGTCATCAAAATGTCCATACTACCCAAAGCAATTTACAGATTCAGTGCAATACCTATCAAAGTACCAATGGCATATTTCACAGACATAGAACAAACACTTCAGAAATTTATATGGAACCATAAACGACCCCGAATAGCAGCTACTGTTTTGAGAAAGAAGAACAAAGTAAGAGGAATCACAATACCTGATATCAAATTATATTACAAGGCCACTGTAATCAAAACAGCATGGTACTGGCATAAGAACAAGCACATAGACCAATGGAACAGAACAGAGAGCCCAGAAATCAACCCAACTCTCTACAGTCAATTAATATTTGACAAAGGGGAGAGTAACATAAAATGGAGTAAAGATAGCCTCTTGAACAAATGGTGTTGGGAGAACTGAACAGGTATGTGCCAAAAAATGAAACTTGAGCACCAACTTACACCATACACCAAAATAAATTCAAGGTGGATAAAAGACTTAAATATAGGCCGTGAAACCATTAAAGTCCTAGAGGAGAACATTGGCAAGAAAATCTCAGATATTTCACACAGCAACTTTTTTTACTGATATGTCCCCTAGAGTAAGGGACATAAAGGAAAGAATAAACAAATGGGATCACATCAAAATAAAGAGTTGGTTCTTTGAAAAGATTAATAAAATTGACAAATCCCTGCCTAAATTCACAAAGGAAAAAAGGAGAAAAGACTCATATAAACAAAATCACAAATGAAAGAGAAGTCACCACAGAACCACAGACATCACAGAGATACAAAGGATCATACCACAATGCTGTGAAAGACTATATGCCACCAAATTCAATAACCTAGGAGAAGTAAATAAGTATAGAATCTTCCTAGACTGAATTGTAAAGAAATAGACTGGTAAACAGTGAGAAAACTATAACAACCTTCAAAATTCTCTAGAAAAATAAAAGTTCAGGACCAGATGGTTTCACCAGTGAATTTTACCAAATGTTCAAAGAAGGTTTGGTACCTATTCATCTCAAACTCTTCCAAAAAGTTGAAGAAGGTCCAATACTTTCTAACATATTTTATGAGGCCAACATATGTATTGGAAACCTACAAGGATAACACTAAAAAAGAAAACAACAGATTGATATTTTTGATGAATACAGATGCAAAAATCCTACAAAAATAATAGCAAAAAAGTATTAGAAACAATAAACAAATACAGAAAAATTGCAGTATACAAAATCAATGTAAAAAATATCTACTGCTTTCCTATATACTCACAGTGAAAATTCAGAAAAAGAAATTTAAAAAAAGCAATTCTTTTAGCAATTGCAATCAAAAGAATAAAATATTGAGAATAAACTTATCAAAGGATGTGAGGGACCTCTGTACTAAAAACTGCAAAGCATTGTGAAAAGAAATTGCAAAAGATACAATGAAATGGAAAGATATTCCACATTCATGGATTGGAGGAATCAACATAGTTAAATGGCCATATTACCCAAAGCCATATACAGATTTAATGTGATCCCCATCAAAATACCATGTCATTTTTTAAAGAAATAAAACAAAAATTGTCAGATTTGTGTGGAACCACAAAAGACCACAAATACCCAAAACAATTTTGAGAAAAAGGGATGAAGCTAGGGATATCTCACTACCTGATTTCAAATTATACTACAGAGCTATGATAGTCAAAACAGCATGGTATTGCCAGAAAACCAGGCACACAGTCCAATGGAACAGGCTTGATAGCACAAAAATAAGACCACAGTCATATGGGCAATTAATTCTAGACAAAGGAGCCAGAAACACACAATGAAGAAAAGAAAGCATCTTCAACAAATGGTTCTGGATAAATTAAACAGCCCCAAGCAAAAGAATGAAACTAGACTAGTTTGTCCCCATGTACAAAAATGTATTCAAAATTAATCAAAGACCTACATATAAGATCTGAAACAATAAATCACATATATAATGACCAGGTGGCAAGGATGATACAACCACACAAACTCATTAACGTGTTACACCATTTTAACAAAATGAAATAAAAAAACATAATTATCTCAATAGATGCAGACAAAACATTTGATGAAAATCAAAATCTGTTCAAGATAAAAACTATCAGTAAATTGGGTATAGAAGGAAAATACTTTAACATAATAAAAGCTATATATGACAAGCCCCAAATAACAAACTCTATGGTGAAACATTGAACACTTTACCTCTATGGTGAGAGACAAGAAAAGTATACCCACTTTTATCACTCCTAATCAATGCAGTACTAGAAGTACTAGGCAGAGCAATTAGACAAGAAAAAGAAAAGACATCCAATACATAAATAAAAACATAAAATTATGTTTGCTAATGACATGATCATATGTAGAAATCCTAAATATTCAATGAGAAAATTGTTAAAACCAAAAACCAATTCAATACATTTTCAGTATACAAAAACAACATAAAAATCAGTTACATATTAACAAACAAACAATAAACTGTCTGAAAAAGAAATTAAGAAAACCATTCAGTATTGATTGCAAGAAATAAAAAGGTAACAATTTAAAATACCTATTCTCCAGGATGGAATGGCTGCTGCGTTTCGTCCACTGAAGCTAGCCTTGCTGCAGGCACTGCGGTCTTTGGTGTATCCTAGGGTGGGAGGTTCAGGCTCCAGCTGCTGTCGCTGCCCCCTCAGAGATAAAAGATACCCACTTACAGATAATATTGTGAAATTAAGAGAATTTCAGCAGAAGAAGGTGGCTATTGCACACAATCTTCCTGACACCAAAGAAATCTATCTGAGACACTTGGAAGAGAAATTGACACAGAACAAGCTCATCTTGAAGGAGTTGAGAACCTTACTTCATCTGTGTGAGTCCCGGGATGATGTGGAACTGGCTAAAAATGTCATCTACAGGTAGCCCATGGCTGGGGAAGGAGAGTAGTGAGCTGAAATAATCTTCATTGAGCCAAAAATGAGGAGCAACTGAATCCCATCCTGACCTTGACCACATTGATTAACAGAGAGATTTAGACCCTCTGACTGGAATGTTTCTTGTCAAAAAGATAAGGAAACCACAGTGTGCAGTGGTTACTGGTAACTAGTTTGCTCTTGGTTGGGTCGAGAATTGAGACCCAAAGTTTTGTTCAACAACTGAGACATTCTTCTGTGAACAACTTGGTTCTAGCAGAGAACCGACATGTTTGAGAACTGAGATGTTTGAGAAATGGTGAAATATATTGAGAAATATATTTAAGAGGTACCATGCAGAGAACAGAATTGCCACTTTGGGGGAGTTCAAGTTTGGACCGCTCTTCATGAGACTGTGCTACCAGTTGTATCTTGAGGGATCTGCAGTGGAGCTCATCAGAGACCAGCATTTATGAGGTTTCTTCTCAGACTCTACATCATTTAATATTTTGATGGATATGTTGTTCATCAAAGGGAAATATAAAAGTATGTTGGAAGTGTTGATTGAGATGAAAAACCAAGATGTGAAGTTCAGCAAAGATACCTATGTCCTTGCTTTTGCAATTTGCTACAAACTGAATAGCCCCAAATCTTTTAAAATCTGCACTGCTCTGAGGGAAGAAGCTCTAATCAGAGGAGAAGTTCTCTCCAGGAGAGCATCATGTTTTGCTGTGGCTCTCACTCTGAACCAGAACCAAGTGGGAAAAGCTGCATCCATTTTTTTTCAAATCATGAAGCCAGAAAACATAAACTGCACTAATTTAAGTGACAGGGACTAGCTGCTCCTCCTAAACAATGAAAAGGACGCAGGACTGCATGTGAAAAATTGACTCCCTACAGTGCACAGATTCCATGCCCGTGAATTTAGAACCTTCGTCTCTTTCAATCCTTGGCTTTAACAGTTGTTATGGTCTTTCCAGCCAAGATGGAGGCATAGGTGGAAACACTGTATCTCCTCGCACAACCAAGTTTAAAGACAACAAAGTTTTAGTAATGAAAACGCAGCCAAAACACAGAAAATTGAACTGTATGGAAGTCTGACAACAACTAACCTTTCATCCAGACCAGTAAGAGGGGCAGAGTCAGTGGCAGGGCGGGTCGGGCAGGAAAGATCAGCCTGACTGACTCAGGAGTGCAGGAGCACAGGCTGCGGTTGGCGGATCCCAGGCATGGGGTGGAAATGGGCAGACCCAGTGAGGGTGCCAGGTGACTGGCTGGCCGCCTTCACACATTCCCGAGCAGATAAACCAAGCAAAGGAGTGAGCAGTGAGACAGACTGCTCAGGCCAGGGCCCCAGTGATGGCAATTAGAGCCTGAAAGCACCAATTGGAAAGACTTTCAGGGTGAAGGTGCCGGGAGAAGCTCCCAGGCTCACAGAGTTTGTTGGAGAGACCCACAGGGTCCTGGAGGGTGCACAGGCCCACACATCTGAGAATCTGCACCAGAAGGGCCCAATTTGCTTATGGGAAGCAACAGAGGGGACCGAAATCCAAGAGCAGAAGAAAACGCTATTGTCCCTCTCTGACCCAGCCCCCACATACAGAGTCACAACCCAGCAACTGAGTCGCCCCACCCTGGTGAATACCTAAGGCTTTGCCCCTCATAAGTAATAGGTGTGACCTGACCAAAACATTATGGCTCAAGCAGAAAAAGAGCTCAAAGCCCCAGAGCCAATAAATCCAAGCAACCAAGAGATAGCCAAGCTTTCAGATGCACAGTTCAAAACACTGGTGATCAGGATGCTCACAGAACTGGTTGATTTTAGTCACAAATTAGAAGAACAAATGAAGGCTAAACTATTGAAATGAAGGGAAATGCACAGGAAACCAATAGTGATGGAAAGGAAACTGAGACTCAAATCAAGGGAGTAGACCAGAAGGAAGGAAAAAATGACCAACCTGAAAAGAATGAAGAAACAAGAATTCAAAAAAATGAGGAGAGGCTTAGGAACCTCTAGGACATCTTTAAATGTTCCAACATCCGAATTATAGGGGTACCAGGAGGGGAAGAGGAACAGTCACCAGTGGAAAACTTATTTGAACAAATAATAAAAGAGAACTTCCCCAATCTGGCAAAGGCAATAGACTTACAGGAAATCCAGGAAGCTCAGAGAGTCCCAAAGAAGTTAGAACCAAGAAGGAACACACTAAGGCACATCATCATTACATAGCCAAGATTAAAATGAAGGAGAAAATCCTAGAAGCAGCAAGAGATAAGGGGACAGTCACCTACAAAGGAGTTCCCATCAGACTGTCAGCAGATTTCTCAAAAGAGACCTTATAGGCAAGAAAGGGCTGGAAAGAAACATTCCAAGTCATGAAATTCAAGACCTACAACCAAGATGGCTCTATCCAGCAAAGTTTTCATTTAGAATGGAAGGGCAGATAAAGTGCTTCTCAGATAAGTTCAAGAAGTTCATCATCACCAAGCCTTTATAATATGAAATGTTAAAGGGACTTATCTAAGAAAAAGAAGATAAAAAAGATGAACAGTGAAAGGACAGCAAACTCACAGTTATTAAGAACCACACCTAAAACAAAAGCAAACTAAGAGGACAGCTAGATCAGGAGCAGAACCATAGAAATGGAGATCACATGCAGGTTTAGGAACAGGGCAGTGGGAGGAGGAGAAGGGGGTAGAAGGTACAGAGAATAAGTAGCATAGACGGTAGGCAGAAAATAGGGGGAGGGCAAGAATAGTATGGGAAATATAGAATCTAAAGAACTTGTGACACATGGACATAAAAGAAAGGGGGGAATGGTGGGGGAGGGGTGTGCAGGGTAGAGGGGAATGAAGGGGGGAATAGGACAACTGTAATGGCATAATCAATAAAATATATTAAAAAAACAAAAAATATCTATTCTTAGGAATAAACTACTTAAAGAAGTGAATGACTTGTACACTGAAAATTATTAAACAATAATGAATAAAATTTTAAAAGACACACATATATGAAATGATATCTGTGTTCATGGATTAAAAGTTTTAATATAGTAACATTCCTATAATACTTAATGTGATCTACAAAGTCTATGCAATCCTGATCAAAATTCTAATAATATTTTTCACATACATTTTTTGAAACTTTAAAATTCATATAGAATCACAATTGGCCCTGAAAAGCAAAAGCAATCGTGAACAAAAGAACAAAGCTGGAGGCTTTACACTTGTTGATTTCAAATTATATTACAATGTTATAGTAACCAAATCAGTAGGGTACTGGTATACCAACAGATACATAAAACAATGAAACAGAATAGAAAACTCATGCATAAATTCACATGTTTATCATCAATTGATCATCAATATATTTGCTAAGAACACATAAGAGGAAAGAAGTAGTCTCTTCAATAAATAGAAAACTGGTTATACACATGGAGAAGAATAAAATTTGACCCTTCTCTCACATCATATACAAAAATCAACTCAAAATAAATTAAAAGACTTGAAGGTAAGACCTGAATCTATAAAACTACTGTAAAAAAAGATACGGAAAAATCTTACTGATATTGGTATAGAAATGACGTTTTGGATAGATACAACACTGGAAGCACAGGTAATACAGAAACAAACAAGTGGAGCTACTTCAAACTGAAAAGCTTCTGCACAGCAAAGAAAACAACCAGCATAGTGAAAAGGCAACCTAAAGAACTGGAGAAAATATTTGCAAACATTGTGCCTGATAAGGGATTAACATTCAAGTATATACAGAAAGAACTAATACAACTCAAAAGACCTAAATACATATTCCCAAAAGAAAACATTCAAATGTCCAACAGGTATAGGAAAATGTGCCTAACTGCACTAAAAATCAGAGAAATAAAAATCAAAACTATAAGGAGATATCACCACGCACTTGTTAAAATGGCTGTTTTCCAAAAGACAAAAGATAAATATTAGTAAGGATTTGGAGCAAATGGAGCCCTTACATATTGTTGATGAGAATGTAAATGGAAAATAGTAAGAAAGTTCCTCAAAAAATTAAAAATAGAACTGCCTTATAATCCAACAATCTTATATGTATATATATATATGTATATGTACATCTATATGTGTATGTACATATGTATATGTATATAGGATTGTGGAATTATAAGGCAGTTTATATATATCCAAAGGAAATGAAATCATCATATAGACAATAAACCTGGGTCTTGTGGTCAAGATGGCGGTCTAGGCGCCATGGCTTATCTCTTTGCACAACCAATCACAACTAAAATATAGAACAATGATCACTCAGAACAGTCAGAAATCGAGTTGAATGGAAGTCTGACAACTACACAATTAAAGAAACCACATCCATCCAGACTGGTAGGAGGGATGCAGAAGCAGAATAGGCTGGTCCCATACCTATGTATAGTGGGTAAAAATTCGGGAGGGATATCTCAGGAGTGAGGAGTCCCAGCCCCACATCACCACCCCCAGCCCAGGGATCCAGGGCCAGGAAGATAAGTCCCCACAACTTCAGGCTGCAAAAACCAGTGGGGCCCTGTCTGGTGTGGCTCGGTAGATTAAGCACTGGCCTGCAAACAAAAGGTTTGCTGGTTCAATTCCCAGTCAGGACACGTGCCTGGGTTGTCGACCAGGTACCCAGTAGGGGCCACATGGGAGGCAACCACACATTGATGTTTCTTACCCTCTCTTTCTCTCCCCCTTCCCCTCTTTCTAAAAATAAATAAATAAACTACAAAAAAACCAACTCAGTGGGGATTGAGTCAGTGGAAGAAATTCCTGGAGTCCCAAGCAGTTCCTCTTAACCCACATACAGACTGACCTACTCAGACTCACTTCCTCTGAGCTCCAGAACTAGGGTTGCAACTTAAAGGGCACCAGTGACATGCTGGGAGTGGCTGAAGTGTCTAGCATCTGGGGGAGCAGAGACCATTGTCCCTTTTCTGAACTTTCCCGCTGTAGAGCGGCAGAGATGGCAGGCTGGAGCCATATCTGCAACTCCATCAACCTGGTTAACACTCTTTGACCCGCCTTGGAGATCCCCAGAGATTCCACCCACCCAACTTAAGGGCCCATCCAAGCTGCTTTTCCATATGAATGACTCATGCTTCACAGCTTTGTAAATCCACTCAGACAAGCAACAGCTGGCCTCAGTGAGCCCCAAACCTGGCACTAGCAGCAGCCAGCCTAGATTCAGCTTGGTTTCGCCCGGGAATCTCCAAGACCAGCACATGTAGCAGCCATTTCAGATTGCTTTATAGCTCAGGCAGGATGGAACCAAGGCAAAACACAGGGGACCGACCTTGGCCTGTACCGCCTGGGAAACCCCAGGGTCAGAGCACCCAGCAGACAGATACAGACCACATCGGAGCAGCACCACCCTCCCCCTGCACAGTTAATCCTACACAGAGGGTGGATGTTGGTGATCAACAGTCACAGCCAGTCCTTGAAGCTGACTGGCCTGGGTAAATCCCTCCCACTGATCTACCAACAGCACCCGAAGTTCAGCTACAAGAGGAGGGTGTATTCAGCACACATGAAGGGAATATCTTGAGTGCCCAGCTTGGGTGATTGGGGGGCTGTGCCACTGGACCCTACAGGACACCTACTACATTAGGCCACACTACCAAGACATGAAGTCAAAGCAGTTCCACCTAATACATAGAACAAACACAGGGAGGCAGCCAAAATGAGGAGACAAAGAAACATGGCCCAAATAAAGGAACAGATCGAAACTCCAGGAAAAAAACTAAATGAGTCCCACTCCATGTCTTGGAAAGCATTATGCTAAGTGTAGCTATGGATCAGCTACAAAAAATGACCAAAA